GTGCTCAACAGTAGTTCGACCAAAGGATATAGACGTGCGTGTGAATCCAAAATTTGTGTAGTAGGGTTTTGCTTTTTAGGTTTATGTGGGTTTTAATTTTTAAGGGCATTTGTGTCTATTTATGTGAGTTTTTGGCTATATTTGAAAGATTTTATAAAAATTGACATTTTTGAAAGTGGGGGGTAAATTTTGGCTATTTTTTATAGAACTCTTTTCAAACAACATCAATGCCTCTACTCATTCCTTGACTAAGTACCTAATAGTGATCACGTGATGGCAATTGCATATCTAACAAACAGTGAGCATGTCTAGAGTTATGAAATGTCTGCCATCAAACTGTTTGTTCTCTTCCCTTTCGGATAAAATTGAAGAAGTCTTCTGGGTTTTGTTTGCTGTCGTTACCTTCTTGTTACATATCTCAGTGTTGTCTATTAATGAGTTGGACTGGGAATCATATGTTAATTCAAGATAGCAATAATTAACCCTTCAAAAACCCACAAAAATCTTTCAAAAGATACTGCCAAGTTGAAGTAACAAAATAAGCCCGCAGTGTGCAGTAGGCCTTGGTCATTTTGGGTCAATCGTGGCCTTCTTTTAGTAGGCTGGGTTGATTTCCTTCTTGTGCAAATTGGACATGATGCTCCAGATCATCTGATCAAAATCTATGGACAACAGCTATGAACAGGTGAATTGTTGAAACTCGAAGCAATCAGAGGTTCAAATTCCTAGCTAGATGCTAAGTCTAATTTCTGTCTCACATCAAACCTCTGGAAGGTAATAGGTAGAACTCTTGATTCTACAGATCAGTTTGATACTTCAAAAATTATTAGGTACATTACACTTGAGTACATGTTCGAATTTTCTAATTTGCATAAACTTATTGCCAGGGCTAATTGATAGCATCACATCATCTAGGCATCAGAGAAAAAGATATATACAGTTGATCATCTACCTTACTATCATGTATGCTATAGAACATCCAAGGGAAAACCCAACATGGTCACCGGAAATGATCACTCAGCTACACCTCCAATGTCGTTTGCTCCGGGTGTGACAATCGTAGGTAAAAATCTCCAAGATTGGCTAATCATCTCTATGAGGAACCCAAAGAACATGATTCATTTTGTACAGCATCTCCATTTTCATTGGTTGTCAATAGCATTGAACTTTCCACTGCTCTGTTCACCCTACCATATGCATGAAACTTCACATTAGCAACTTCCTGGTCATTCTCATTGGTGGTTTTAGGAGCAGAGCTTTTCTCAAGATCTGCAATTGCTTCTGATACAACAACACTTTCTGTTTCAGAACCAATAGAAACTTTCATTTCTTGCTTGGGTGCATCTAAATTCTCAGTTGCAGATAATGTCATACTGCAACCTGATTGCATATCCTTGGATTTGGGGTTTTCGTTCTCCTTCCCCAAAACAGCTTCCAAGTATGAGTGCCTTTGGCTAGAAGTTAGACTTGCATCCTTGTATAACTTTGCTAACATCTCTGTTCCATCAAGAGAATCAGCGAATTCAACCAGCGCCACTGTCGAATCATTGCTCATTTTTGCTTGTTCAATCGTGTTGATTGATGAATTAGTATATGCCTGAACATCTAAGTTGGACGAACCAAAATGATTACCTCTTTCTTCACCATACACAGCATTGTCAACAGCAGCATTTTTAGCTGTGCCAATATTACCAAATTTAGGGCCTGAATCATTTGTATCAACTCTAACATCTAGGATACCATTGGTCTTATTCTCTTTATCTACCTCTTCTTCCTTCACTTTTCTCAAGCTTCCGACTTCAATTTCACTGCTTAGTTTTTGGGTGTTCTGTTTCACAGCACTGGATGCATCATCACCCTTGTACTGTTCCTCTCTGGCCTCCTGGGTGTTCCTTGTATCTTCATTTTGGGCTTGATCCTCTAGCAATCTGGGAATCTCTAAATCATTTCCCTTCTCTTCATTTTCCTCTTCCCTCTCCGTATCTTCTTCATCAATCAAATCCTCTACCCCCTCAGACTCTTCCTCAGATCTCTCTTGATCATGCCCGTCTATTTCATCATCTTCAGCACCTCTTCCTTCCTCCTCACTTTCTTCATCTTTACTCTCATCTACCTCTTCTTCAGATTCTTCTTCTTTTTCCCTATCCCTTCCAATATCCAAGGAAGTTTCCTCCACCCGAGGATGGAGGCTACGCCTCCCAAGTTTTATTGTTTCATGCCCATTCTGCATCTTTCCCGAAATCTTTGCAGAGCTCTCTTCATATGCTTTCTTATCGTGGGAGTGCTTGAGCTGGTAAAGCAACCAGATGCAAATAGCAAGCAGCAGAAACATCTGAAGAGCATGCTTCACCTTGAAGCCTTTTGACCTCTGGTTCCTACTTGGTGATTGCTTCAACATGGTAAATACTTAAATACGTGTTAACTCTACCAATTAGCAGCAGCAAGTGGTAACCCAATCTGCACAAAGGGAAGTAAGAACCATATGTGAATAACCATCAAACAATCTAAACTAAACCGGATATCGGAAATGTTATTTATCATACATCCAAATTTCTACTTTAGAAACTCAACAATGCACAGAATAAAATAACCATATTCCGCAGGATCAAATTGCTGAAACTGCCTATTTGGTGAGAATGGAAAGGGTTATAAAATCTGGAATTGGTTATGGGTTGCACACAATGAAAAATATTGCACTAATTGAGTGGTGAGTTGAGTTTGGAGATTCAAAATCGTATCTTTGCATTGTTAGTCTTCCCAAACCAAGCCAGCTGATTGAAAAAAACCAACTCGAAGTCTTTGCCGACAGTGACAAGGGAAACAATAATAGGGAAAGGAAATAAACTCCATTGGAATGTATTTATGCCTGTGCAGGCTGTGTCAAAATGCATAAATAATCAAATTATCCAGAAGAATTTACCTTATAAGCAACACTCTTTTTCACCCTTAGAATGAATGTATCATCCAGCTAACTGAGGACAGCATTAAAGAATGTTAATACTACTCTTATGAAAATATTCAACAGTGAAATGAGTTGTACATGCAGCAAGTTAGAGAAGATATCAAATTTGCAGATAGAAAACAGAACACAGCTGAAACTTGAAGAACCAAATCCAGCATATACTTTTACCAGTGAACGCAAACAGAAGCAGCATCATTTCTTAGAAATTGAAATCAACCCATTGGTAAGAAAACAGCAGATGAGAATTTATCCCACACCTAACTTCAAGTTCTATGCTCACAGCGACAAGAATCCCAAAACCCACATGAAAATTTGTCATTTCTAGCTTGAAAAGGCCAAAATCCTCCCTTGAATACACTATCCAAGTGTTTATGCAAATTTTGGAAGTATAAACAAGTACTTGTACAAAATAAAAACTAGAAAAAATTAATGTTACAGGAAAAAAGAAAAGAAAAAACCAAACACGGAATGAATAAAAGAAGCTAAGATAGCGTACCAGTGACTCAGTGGAAAAGCTGAGTATCAGAACTTGAGATAAAAGGAGATGGGATTAGAGTTTTGGGCATTTGGCTTCATCTTTCATGTATACATGTATGTATGTATGAACAAGTAGCAAAATTTACCCCAACAAGAAATATTCTTCTTTTAATTACTACCCTTTTCTTCTTCTATTCAAATATGTGGTTAGAAAGGAGAGGAGGACAGTGAGTAGTTGAGGGGTGTGAATAATGTATAATCTCTCTCTCTCTCTCTCTCTCTCTCTCTCACAGGTGAAGCAATAAAAAGGCAAAACGCAATGTCACATCTGCAGGTGAGATTTTACTGAGAGTGAGAGAAGTGTAACTGTGAGAGTGTGACAGAGAGGACAAAGCATTAAAATCAAGTTGGCTTCTTTTTGGGGGCTATGGACCATGACGACTCCACACTGCCAATGCCAAATACGACATTCTACACGTATTCTGATAATGTTAATTTCTTTTGTTACTAAAATCCAAACCAATTTTTTTTTTTTTTTTTCATTTAAGAAAAGGAGGGGTGTTAGATACTTCGAGAAAAGTAATGATCTTGTTGATCAGATTGGCATCAAGTCTTACCAATGAGGGGAGATTTTGAAAGATAATTAATCAAATGTTCGACTTGTTGAAAAACTTTTACGCCAGCTTTTAAGAAATTTTAACCATTGGAGAGGGATTCGAGTAGTATCTGTGTGGAGTTCAAACATTGCTCGAGGGGTCTCAAATGGCTATGTTATTTCTAAATATGAAAAGAAAAAACCTACAGTTTTATGTTTCAAGAAAAGGAGTATACTGTATTATCTATATTGATAGTGTCAATTTATCACTTAGATTTTTTCTTTTTAAACCAATTTTCCTCATGAACTATACAAAAATGGTCAATCTATCCCCATCGTCAAATTCCTAGCAATTCTATTAAAGATACCGTCAAATAAAGTTACATTCACACCTTCGAGCGTCTCTTTCTTTACATCCTTGACGAATATGAGGTGAATGGGGTTTCAAGTCATAAAGAATATGACGTAAGAGTTCTAAAAAATGAAAGGATCAACTCCATAAAACCCCTTGAACTTTGGTGTGCTTCCAAATAATCCTAAATCCCCTTAGTACCTGTGTATATGAGTCTCCCCATTCCTAACTTCGGCCGAAAAAATAAAAATATATTTGGATATAAATAAGTCAAATAACACAACCGATTTGGTTCGCTTAATTTGGACCAATCTAAAACAGTTCGGTTTGGTTTTTAGCTGAAGTTAGACTTTTTTAGTCAGTCAACAAATTTTTTTCGGTTATTTTTAATCCGGTTCGGCTCCGTTTACCTGTTCATCGTTTTTTTGCCCACCCCTACGTTGAATCATTGCAAGGCTTATTGATGATAACAACTTCTTTTCAAACAACATTTGAGTTAGTGAGGGTGAGACCACCCAAAAGGGAGCGAAGTCCCAGTCGCAGAGGACCATCAAGCTAGACTACTCCTCACCCAACAAGAAAAGCAATAACCACAAACAAGAGGCGCGACAACAAAACAATAGAAATCAACAAACCCTAGGCCTAAGACCAGATGCACAGTTTCCACATTTATTTCATGGCACACATAACTTGAACCTTGTTTCTTTGTAAAAATCGAAGACATCCTAGTTCTAACATACGACCCAAAATCACGGTAACAATAACCAATTGTAAAATGCACTTCTTACGACCTGCAGAGCTGTCTCATGGAGTGACAGAAGTAGTAGATATTTTAAACATGCTTCAAATGGAACAATAGCAGCTACTGCTTGCTTCTAGGTAGCCCAAAATTTGACCTTGGTTTAGCAGATGCGACTTGAAAATCTACAACAATTCAAATTGTTAAGTAAATAATCAGAATAGTAGGGGAAATAAGGAAAAACAAACGTTGAAAAGCTTGCTAGGGTGAATAAAACCCACGCACATGAAACGAAATCACTGAAACTCAAGAAAGATATCATTGCTTGCACATATACCTTGAATTTGGTTGTTTTGGATTTACTGACCGCAAAAACATAAGAAACTTCTCTGCAGATACTTCTCTTAACTCTCTTCATCTACAAGAATGGTTGATTCATTGCCAATCCCAAGGTCCGTTAAAGTTGCCATTTCATCATCAAGCAACATTGGCAAAGGAGAACCCTGAAAATTTAGGAAAAAATATATTTACTGCAGCAGAAAGTGTAGGAAAAAAAATATACTGGCAAGAGTCCTTCCTTTCTACGTTCTGGGAGCAAGCAATTCTTTAGCTTATAGAATTAAAGTACTGGAGGTAGCAACTGGTGCATTTGTATTACTTTTAAAATGTTATTCCACGGAGAGGTCAAAGACATGCTATATTAGAATTAGAATTATGTATTAAGGGTAGTTTAGGGTTTTCCTCTCTTTTGGTTTTCAATAAGTTTGACATATTTTTCTCAATCAAAAGCAACCAGTGGGAATGGCAGTATAATGACACACTATTCTCAACAACACGAACTTATTGATATTGTTTAAATCAACAATAACAAATGATATCTTGTGTAACAGGGAGGGCAAACCTCTTCTTGAAGAAACAATTTCAGCTTGATAGACTTCAGCTTGAAAAAGCTTTCACAAAGAATTTTTAGCTTACCAACCTAAAAAACAAATAGAATGTAGAGTTTTTAAGATACATCCAACAAGACTTGTAATTTAGAGAAAGAGAGTGGGACTATAACCGTTGTGGCGCCTGGGAGTTTCTTCGTCAGTGACGGCTTCTCACCAATAGATGCTCCCACACATTTCAGAGTAATAGCTGAACAAAATTGTAGATTGGATTGATAGTCCTTGAAAGAAGCTAATTTTAAATATATAAAAAACAATTTGAAGTTCCTACATAGAAGTCCTGAAGCCATTTTCTGAGGGCCTGCTGCTCCAACTAATGGCTTTTCATCTTCAATTCCATGAAAAACCTTAAGCTCCGCAAACCTGTAACGAAGCAAAGGTTCATGAGATGGAAGTATTTGATTCCTTCCACTATCAACAGATGTCATTTTTGGTGGCAAACACTAGTGGAATTAATGTCCCAAACCCAGGTCACCCAAGGCGCTTGAATGTGTATTCAAGGGAACAAGGAAAATCTGAAAGGAAGTTTAGGAAAGGTAAATTATTTATTTATCCCAGCTCTTATTACAGCCCTCATAAATTTTGTGTTTCAAAAAGCGCAGTGATATGCTAAGCTGTCAATGAACATCTGCTATTAATTCAAAGCTGTGTGAATTCACAATGTCAAAAGACATCTGAAAGTAGTCAGTTTTGGTAATCTAGAGCACTGAAACTCATGATGCAAGCAACAAAGCTCTTGCACAACAAAGTAATCCAAGTTGATTAAAACAAAATGAACAAATAAACACCACACAATTTGATATAACCATTTCCAAAATAATAACACAATTCTTCAATGAGCCAAGGCTCTCAGGAACAACATAGAACAAAATAAAACTACATGGGAATCCCCTCATGATCTTTTTCTTTTTAAACAAAAAGATATAAAAGATTAACTTGAAAAAGACAGATACCTAGGATGAAGCCACTGGAGTTCTTTGCTATTTCCTTGCATTTTTGACATAACTAATCGGACATACCTGCAAACAAAAATAATTACAGTTCGGAGAGAAAAACTAACTCCTTTTTTTCTTTTGGCAAAAGACTCAGAAAGTAATTCATACATGAATAAGAATAACTTCCCTGAACCAGAATTTTAGGGAATGCTACCTTCCAATAACAACTTATTGCACTCAGCTTAAAATCATAACTGTTAGTCATGCATTTATGATCCCTTGTCACCAATCAGTGAAGAGCACAACCAATGACTTGGTCAACTATTATGCAAACCCAAAAGTTTGATTGAAAAAGGAGACAGGAAACTAAACCTACAAAAGTAGACTTAGAAGATTATCAAACACTACAAACGTGGTTTCGAGCTGAAGCATAAAAATGTTTTGATCTCTTTATGAGCCGCCTCCAGGAATACTTAAGGGCCAGCTGAGCCCTTAAAAAAATATGTGTATATATACACACATATCCATCAATTCTGATGGAAAGAGCAAGTGATGTTCAACATCTCTATTGTAGAAGTGGGTGATATGAAACTGAAACATTCTTTGTTTTGTTTTACTAAACTGTATGCTATTGAGCCAGATCAGATTCAGTAGGGGGGGGGGGGAATCATATGCCATTCAAGCAATGGTGTGCACTGGATGAAAAAAAAGAAGAGAAATCCATGCCTTTATGACAAAGGAAAATACTCAGTTTGGGGCTCTCAGCAAAGCAGTGATCACTAAATATAATAAATAGAATTGCCATATTGAGAGCCTGAGGCTGAGACTAACAGGTCCTGACAATTAAAGAAGCAATCTTGGGCTACAGAAACCTAAAAGCCCTACATAAAAGTGTGCACTCATGGTGGTAAACTAAGCTGAAGGATGAACATGAGAAGAAAGAGGCATACCGAATCTCTGACTCTTTTCTTTCACGAGAACTAACCTGAAAGATATGTTAGACAAAACTATATCAGATTTATTATATAAGTGAAAGAAGCAAATTTGGAGTACATAGGACCTCAAGGTTTACCTCACTCCCATTCAACATTTCAACTTTAGCTAAACGGGCAACCAAAACAAATCTTGGGATTCCACCTTGTCCAGGGTCAGCCACTGGATTCTCAGAAAGCCTGATATCCTTTAATAACAAAAGAAGAATGAGCAAGCCAGAAACTAGAAAACTAGGAGAGATCTATGTGATTTATTTATGCGAAAACTAAAGAGTAAAAGCAGATTGATTTTATTAACACATAAAATCCAAAAAATAAATAAAAAAATAAAAGATTAATTGTGTCAACTAAAAATTTATCCATGTTGAAATGCCAGCCCTTCTAGCAGTCATACCTCTCCCCTTTGTTAAATGGGATCATGAGTACGACTCCTCAAAGAACAGGTAGTTGAACCCAAAATAAAGGAAGTATGATGGAGTGAATGATTTGATCAATGAACATTGTCATGTTGTTCCAAGCATTGGTAATAAAAATAATAATATAAAAACAATCCATGTCAAAAACAATTTTTTTTGTTGTACCCAATTTCATATATCCAAGGGGTGTTTGAGGAGCAAGGGAAGGAAGAGTCCTAATATGGCAAAGTTCAGACATCTACTTTCCTCTTCTTTCTTTGTCCTTTTTTGTTTTGGCCTGGTGAAGACAGCCCTTTAGTATAAATAAAGTACCGATGAAAATAAATAAATAATGAAACCAACATCTGTACAAGACATTTACAAGATCTCAGAGGACATCGAACGAGAAGTATATGTATGCACGATCTACCATTTGCACATTTTTTATTTAATATACTTAGCACAGGCAGACCAGGTTCAATTTATATTGCAGAAAAACTACAGCATGCATCAATAGAGGCCAGATCCTCAATGTTGAAAGTCACCAGGTCTAATAACACAAATTTCAGACAAAATCTTACCACTAGTTGTGGGAATGAGTTTAGCGAATCAATAGAGGCCAGATCCTCAATGTTGTTGCCACCTGGAGCATGTTATGAGTAACCAATAAGTCACTGGACTCATGACACAAATAGCAAATGAAGGTTGCATGAGTGCTAATACAAGAGTTGTGATAAGTTACCAAGAAGAAGGCAACGCAAATTCTGAAATGGCTTATGGCTTTCCTCACATGAGTCATAACCATTTAGCAGTTCATGCATCATTCCATCATCAGGATAAAAGACTCGAATCAAACTGTTATTGCTCAAATGAAGCTGCTCCAAGCTGAATGCAGAGGCCATTTTTTAAAAAATTTAAAGAAAATATGGCAACCTCAGAGACATTTATACTTGCAGATATTTTTCTACTTAAAGCGCTACCGATCAATCTAACTAGCATCCTATGATTTTTGTACCAGAGGTCAATAACCCAAAAGTAAGTACTTGCATCTCCTACCAATACCAACAGGTGTAACATAGAGGTTTAAAGCTCTCTTGGCAGCATCTACACTACGCCAGGTTCGCTATTTTCATGTAAAGCGCTGTACCCACTCAACCACTATAAGAGGGATCATGCCATGGAGAGAGTAACTAGCACGGCTAACCAATAAGTCACTCATGTGCAATTCTTACTAAGCCAAGCAAAGGATGGAGATGAATCTATATCCGTTGGTCACAAAGTGAAGACATCCCCCAAACCTATCTTTTTTTATTGAATGGAAACATTTTGTATTCAAAATTAGAAACGATCAAAAGAGAGGACAATTAGAACACAGACAAAAAGAAAGAAGCAATAGCCAATGAAACAAACACAAGGCCACACAACACAGAAAACATAACAGCCAATCAAAAAGACAACCCCTTAAGACACTATAGACAGCAGATCCCCCAAACCTATCTTAAGTTCTATGCTTTTCATTTCAATCATTTGTCAGGACTCAGGACCAACCCAAGATTCGTTCCAACCCCACCCCCTCTCCAATTTCAAAGTAATTACTGTAGTGGAAGGAACATAAAATTGTTACTAACCTTCTTAGCTGTGAAAGTTTCAAGATTTCATTCCAATCAGCTATACAATTGTCTTCCAAATTCAGAAGGCGCAAATAATCAAATCCCTGAACTGCAAAAGATGATGCAGGCTGGAAAAGAAGGCAGACCAAAAGCAGAGCTATACAGTCAAGATGCATTTGTTTAAGAATTTATATAAAGACAACGAAAAAAATTATATAACTAAGGAAAAAAAAAATTGAAACTCCGAAACATTTTCATTGAGAAGAAACAAAATGATTTACTGGTTTTCGATGAACCAACCATTGCATCTTTTTCTTTGCCATTTACGGGTTAACCTAGTGATCCATAATTTACCATTTCTGTTTGGTGAAGGGTTTGCCAAGTGTTAGATGTTCAGATTTTACAAACCTAAAGTGAGCTAGCTATTAATGTGATACTCTATTCTATTTATATACTTTCTGAAAGTATCCAAGTGTCACATCTTACACTATTCTCAGCTAGCTATTAATGTGACACACTATTCTATTTATATACACAAACACACAAAATCACCTACAAGGCGCTGTGGATGTCTCAATCGCATTGATCACATTGACCACATGGTGGAATCAGTGGATCAATGGCATTGAAGAGCATTGTACATCCCAGACATTACACAGGCGAAAATCCTCTTACACACACATATATGGCACAATGAAACACAAGATAATAAAATCTACTGTTAAAAGTAATATATTTCTCGTGGAAATATACAACCACCAAGAATTTCAGATAGCATACCTCTATTGTGCTTATTTTATTCCCCATCAGATGTAGTTCTTCAATTTCTGGCAAAGACTGTTTGAGTATTTCAACCTGCCACATCAAACAGACAATATCGAGCTATTTGGTATAGAAAAGCAAATAGTAAAAAGAATAAAGAATAAAACTAAAATGGTGTAGGAGAAAAAAAAAAAATTAAAAGGCACCTGGGTCCAATTTATGCCAATATTGTTTAGCACTAAAATGCGGATGCGTTTTAAATGTGGCAACCCAACCATATCATGTGCCATTAAGTTGTAAGATAAATTGAGGGCAAAAAGATCTGCCAATTGTTCACAGATTGTGCTGACATCCTGCAAGCAAAGATTAATTCAAATACAGTAAAGGTCAGCCCCCAGCACTTAAGAAACAAAGCCATTAAAAAATAAATTAGTGCATGCAAACATGTATGCCAAGAAAAGCTCTATTTAGTGAGACTAGAAGAGTGCACTAACAAGTTAACAAACACACATGAGATCACCAAATTGGCTGATTATAGTACGAAATTAACAATAAGTCAATCAAATTATTTTAATTGTATTAAATGTGTCCGTTCAAAGCAAAAGGACAGATAGACAGATTGAAATTTATATGGTTAAAATCTTCAGGGAAGTTGGTATTCCCCACATTTCATCCTTCTTTGCTGAAATTGGAAGCTACAGAACCTTGCCTTGCAAGGTTCAAGTTTTTGCTTGGTTAGTTGCCTATAGAAAGGTTAACACCTGCTATATGATTCAAAGTAGGAGACCAAATGCTTTGTTTTTCTTATCAGTGGTGTTAAAGTTTGTAGAGCTGGTAGAAAAAGTACAGATCACCTGATTCTTCACTGTCCAATAGCTTTAAATCTGTGGCTGAGATTGTTTAGAGAAGGACATGTAAGTTGGGTAATTCCAGCTGGTTGTGCTTCATTATTTTGTGAGCTTTTCGGGGTGGTAAGCAGGTAAAAGTTCTGAGCGGCTGTAGGGTGCTAGCAGTTTTTCGAGTAGTTTAGTAAGAAAGCAAACAAAACTCTTTTTAAGATCTCAATCTATGATGAAGAAATGATAGGTAGTTCTTTGGTTATAGCTTTACAGGAGTAGTTGCACAGTGCATTCAAGAATTAGCAATGTCTCTTAAAATCATCACGTTAAACTTCAAGAAACTGCTATTATTCACCATTTTCATCATGGATGCTAACATTCTAACAAGTTCCAGAGGAAAAGTCAAATATGTAACCATCCTTTAAAAAATGCCAGTGGCAGACTGAAATTTTCTAATAGTAGAAAGTAACAAATACCAGTATCTCCTTTGAGCATTAAATTATAAGTGAAACAAGGGAAAAAGCACTAGTCCATAAAACAACAGGTAAGAACCAGACGAGTAAATGCACAGAAAATGATAATGCAAAAGCAGTAACAAAACACAATGTATCCTGTTTTTCAAGAATGTGCTAACACACTACAACTACTTCCTAGTACGGGAAACAAAGTGGATTTCGATGGCATTTGCATGTACCTTCCATTCTGAAATTAGATTTCCAGTCAAGTCAAGCTCCTTTAAATCTGCAATAAAAGCATCATCATTGTTTTGGATGAGTATATATATTAGTTTACACATGCGCACAGACAAGTGTGCAGTCTGATTGTGTAATAGATTCTATTAATATTAAGAGCGAACTATTCATGAAGATTGGACTAGACTTGAACAAGAATACACATGACATGGTAGTAAGTATATATAGAAATGAACGCACACTATCTTGTTTCTAGCTTATTCTAAGAGAACCACTCATGAGTCCTGAAGATGGGATGGAGCTAGGGTGGAACTGGAATAACAGGAAATAATGTACTTAGTTGTTTGGACCCTACCGGGATCCAATTTCAAACCTAAAAACTGATGCATATACTTTTGTGGAGGACAGGATCTCAATTGTAAAAAATTAAAAACTCAGCCATTTGATTTCATAAGGACTTGAAACCTTGAACAGAAAATGAGGAGAAACATCTGCACATTTGCAGAAAGACAAAGCTCAGCACACAATTTTCAGGATTAGTAACTTCTTATCTGACAGATAAAAGCATAAACCAATTCATGCATACAATAAAATAAAAAATAAAAAAATAAAAAAATGGCTAAGCATTTAAATCCTTGGCCTTAAGCCTTATTATGACTAGAAAATTAGTCAATCAGTTAAAATAAATTTTTGAGCTTCAAGGTTCCACTATCTAATGCATTTGGATAAAGCATAGTTCTTCCTTCATTGAATTGTTAAGTTCATAATGGAGACGAATAAAACTTACTAGGCACATTAGTACTGATATCACATGGGACTCCAGGAGAGCTAACACCCAAATAAGATACCGATGCACTTGTCAACTCCTCTAATCGACTTAGCTTGTCTTGAATTTTGTCTTTGCCAACAAGTTGAACATTTACACGCTTGTTGCTCGCTGAAAGGACATACATTTCATCTACGACACAAGAAGGAACGTAATAATAAGACAGTATTTCACAGTTTCTATGAATGTTACCCATTTCAAGCAAAATGCACATACCAAGCATTATCTTATTAGCCATTATACCAACTGGAAATTCATATTTGCAAAATGAACCAAATATTCAAGCTAAATTCACATTTAAAATAATTTCCATTTATGACTAAAATCTGAGAAATGCTATACAAGTTAACAACTAAATATAGCATCATTATACAATACCAAGTTTCACACAGAACGTTTCAGTAAATTTCAAAAAAAAAAAATTCTATAAAAAAAAATGCAGTTCATTTCCTGCAGTTTGCAACATTTGCCACTGTTTTCCTTTTTTTTGTCTGAAATTTGCCACTGTTTTCAGAGCAACTAACTGAGCAAAAATGAAACTGATAAAACAGAGACATACCCTCTTCTTCTTTAGTCGTGTCACCTCGGTATCTGAGCTGGAGAGCTTGCAACAACGAAATGCCAGAGCTGAGATTCTGGGACCGGACAAAAGACCCGGATCGTTCAGACCTTGCCTGGAAGTATCGAACCCCATTGATGGTCCCATCGTGCTTGCCCTCTCCATTGTCCCAATCAACTCCGACCCATGTGCCCGAATAGCCTTGGACAGGTCCCACATACCTCACCGTCCCAATTCGACATGGATCACCTGATGAGTGGACCCGCTGCCCAATTCTGAAGTCAGGCTTTGACTCGGATGATTCTTGCATTTTCTTCTCTTTCTTTTGCAATGTAGTCTTCTGGTTATGTTGTGTATATCTGAAGCAAATAACTAATTGAGGAGGATGATTGAATGTAAAGCTCGATGGTGAGTGAATGTTATCTTGTTACCTAAGCTAAATTAGGCAGAGCAATGACTGACGCTAATCATCCCCTTTTAAGTTCGGCGTGAATTTTTAACTGATGGATTGGCCAGGTTGGGCTTGGATACGGATATAGACAATACTATGAAGAGATCTGAATGAAAACCCATCATAAATAAATAAAACTTGATACACCTTGAGCAAAGTTGTAAAACTTTTGTAGACAGAATGTGAATGAAAACCCATAAAAAAATCAACCCAGATCATAAATTAAAAAAACTTGATAAACCAGCATTCTTTTGTAGAAAATCAGCATTCTTCATAAACTTCTGTAATACCCAATTCATAAATAAATAAAAAAGACAAAAATTCTATAAGACCCATCAACATAAAATTCATCCTACAAAATCAATGACTATGAAAATACATAAATCAAAACAACTAAAATTGGGAGTATTGACCTGAACCCAATGAACAGTGTGGTCCCTAAATGCCATGAACCCATTCAACAAGATAAAATTAATTAATGAAAAAACTAAATCAATAAACAAGGATGTACCTGATGCAGATGAGATTACAAGAAGCAGAAGATGCTGGAGGAGCACAGGAGGCGCCTTGACGCCGCTGCAAGATGGTGAGAGGTGAGAGACTGAGACTGAGACTGAGAGAAAGGGCGTGCTGGGGTTTTTTTTATTTTTTTTTTAAAGTTGTTTGAAGTGAGGCACGTCAATGGCATACAAGGGTGAAACTGTAAAAACGGAGAAAATCAACAGTGACCGGGGGTTGGGTTTTGCCTCTGGCTTTCGTTTCGTTTCATTTCCTCTCTCTCTCTCTCTCTCTCTCTCAGTGACCTGAGCAACAGCATATTTACTCTGTATCAGCGATCGAATCGATCTTCGCATTCATGGATACTTCAAACCTCACTTCGCTTCCAGAGGACACTCTCGAAGACAATGAACAACGAGCACCACAGCAACCCCGACCTCTCTCGGCCTTTGACTCCCGCCCCGATCGCCCTCCCACTCAGTGAGTTGTTGTTCTCAACTCGCCCCCATGCACTTGAAGTTTCAACTTTTGGGGCTTACTCATCGCAATGCAATGTTTTTGTAGGACTTCTTCACAAAAATACTCGGCTTTAGATTGGAAGGGGTTTTTCGACCAAGAAGAAGATATTAGAATTCCGGACTCGGATGATGTGAGTCTGTTTAGAATTTTGAACTGTCTGATTCTGCTACAATTTCATGATCTTCTAATGTGCTTTTCCATTTCAGGTTTTTCATGTATACACTGCAGGAACAGAGGGCCCAGTTGTTTTCTGTCTGCATGGAGGTGGTTACTCAGGGTATGTTCAAGTTTTGGTTTTTTTGTGTTCTTTTATTCTTGTTAAGCTGAAACATCTTCTATTTGTTTCTGGGTTTAATTTTACATGGAAAGCAATCACTTTCTGATGTGATAAATTATATTTGCTCAAGTGATATATAGTTCACACTGCCCTCCATCTATAAGCTGATGATGCCTTTGCAACTAAGAATATATGTGTTGTGACATTGCTAGACTGTAGAACTTGTGAAAATGGTGAAAATAGCCTTTCCTTTTCGAACCTCCTAATGTACCCAACACAAAGAAAATCAACGAACAGCATAGTACTGAAGTTTATGCTTTGCACATATATGTACCATGTCTCATGACTCAGTTATAATGATCAGAGAGTGCTTGCATACATTACATGTTTTATTTGTGTTATCTATTGTATATGTGAAGTACTGTCAAACAAATGTCACGAAAAAATCTCTTTTAGTGGTCATTATTGATTGCATGCAGCTTCTTTTTTCTCCTGTTTTAGTTTTAGTTTTTTTTTAAAATATTTATTGTCAAAAGAAGCATAAGTTTGTTGATACTCTTTACTTCTTTTGGGTCCCTTGTTTATATCTTTAGTTGAATTACTTATCTGAGGTAATCAGAGGAAGCAATAAATAGATTATTTCCCATAGGCAGCCTTGACATATTCTTCAAAATTTCAAATTGTTCTAGTGGTTTCACCATACTCCAAATGTCTTTGGTAAGGTTCATATTTACACATGTGACATTGTAGGCTCCATGTATATTATTTATCTTTAGATGATTAATTATTGGTAGCAAGTTACTATAGATTTGGTTATCTCGTCTTTATTGTTTTTGTTGTTATGTCTAATTACGGTCAATGAGTTTGGATGACACACTGTTAAATATCAGAAAGTGTTCATATCCTTAGGTAAGAAACTGAACTCTTTCGATTTGTTCTATTTTGGGGGAGAGTAAACTGTTTTTTGGTTTAGTTTATTTTGAATTATCCCATAGTTTTACCAAGAAATGCATGGTATCTTTGATGTTAACTATTTTCAGCATATCTGCTTTAGTTTTTCTGGCACTTTTTTTTTTCTTCTCCTTTTATGCTTGGGTACTTCAAAAATCTGGTATGCTGTGGTAGATTACACAGTTTATTTTCCCAGGCTCTCTTTTGCCTTGTCAGCAAGTAAGATTAAGGAGAAAGCTCGGGTAGTTGCCATGGACTTGAGAGGACATGGAAAGTCAACCACAGAAAATGAGAACGATCTTTCTGTTGAGGTAAAAGTACATTCAAAAGAGGTTTGCTCTACTTGATTTATTCTTGTTAGATCTTCTAGGATATAGTTCCTATATAGGTAGGCTTATCTGTCATGCTATCCACTCAACTAAATTGTAGTTCTTTATTTGCAGACCATGTGCAATGATGTTCTGGCTGTTGTGAAAGCAATTTATGGAGATTCACCTCCTGCAATTGTGCTTGTCGGCCACAGGTTGTGCTTTTTTAATAATTACCTTTGAAGTATTCATTGTAAATCATCTTCAGTTGTGACGTGTTTCCAGAAACAAAAGGAAATTCTAACACCTAATGGGTGTATCAAAGAAGCTAGTAATCAACTCTGTGGGTTTTCTCCTTTTAATGACATGCATGATCATATTTATGAAGCAATTTAGAGTTTCTGGGTTAGAAAGCATATAATCTCTCTTGATCATCAATAATGTGTAGCTTATTTTGATGATAGTGATATCAGGTACAGGAATAGACAATTTGATATTATTGATAGTTAAAAAATTCAAATTTTCATTTTCTCAAGCTCTATATATTACAAAAAAAAATTGCCACTTCGAAGGATCTCTAAGGATTCCTTGTGTTCCTAACTTTCACGTGAATTGTTGTCAACTCATGTCACTGTCATACAGTATGGGAGGGTCAGTTGCTGTGCATATTGCTGCAAAGAGAGCATTGTCTAGCTTGGCTGGGCTGGTTGTTGTCGATGTTGTAGAGGTTTGGGTTTTGCAAAATAATTATCTCAGCTTTGTTTGTGATTATTTATCTATGGTGGCATAATGGCAGTCAACTTACGCTGAAATTTGCGAATATTTCAGGGAACAGCTTTGGCTTCATTGATTCACATGCAGAAAATCCTATCAAGCAGGGTGCACCATTTTTCAAGCATTGAAAAAGCGGTACCTACGATATCTTCAAATCCTAATATTTCCTAACTTCTATTTACCTTGACTTGAAGCACAATTTTTGTTCAAAGAGTGCACTGCAATTAGGGCATCAGATTAGAGGGATGAAAAAATTAATACAAAGATTCTTAATGTCCAGATGGACTTATTTTATGAGATCAAGGCTTTTATGGCTATCTAGGGAAAATATCAAAGTGCATCCTTGAACTTTGGGGCCATGCCAATTTCCTCCTTAACTTCCAATTTGATCAATGTAGATGCTGAAAAATCAACCAAATCCATTACTAAAGTACAGCCGTGTGATTTCATGTTATGACTGATTATTCTGAACTTGAGAGTTTATCTCCTTTCAGATTGAATGGAGTGTAAGGGGAGGCTCTTTGAGAAACATTGAGTCTGCTCGGGTGTCAGTACCTACGACATTAAAGTATGATGATTCAAAGAAATGGTAAGTATTCAAAATTTTCCGCTCCCATGACCCATTGTTGTCTTGTTTTCGTCAAGTTTCTGTTAATCCTAGTCTTGCACATAACAGGCACAGTTTTGGTATTATTCTGCAGTTACATTTATAGAGCACGATTGGAAGAAACAGAACAATATTGGAAAAGCTGGTATGTAGAAATTTTTTTGTTAATATTCTCATATAAAATTTGGCATTATGGTCAGGGTCATGTCACTACTCGTGGATATTTCAATTAAAACCAAACTCATCTGCAATTTATGTACCATCTATGAGTTAGAACATTCATTCTGCATACTAGTACACAATTTTCTTGTTGAATTGTTTGGTTGCTGAGTCCACAGAGCGTAGCATGGCTTGCTTGTTATTACAACCTGCTCATATAACTGATTCATGCTCTGTTTGGTACTCATAAGCGCTAAAGCACTTCTTTTAGAAGCAAATCATGGAAATGCAGTTGGAAGCGATTCCTAAGGAAGCACCTTTGATGTGCGTCTTCTACAAGCACTAAAAGGTGCTCCTAGCTCAGAAAGCTTTTTAACTATTTGTGCAACTACCAGAAACGCTTTTGGTTATCTGAAAGCGCTTTTATCACTTATAGAAGCACTGCCAAAGATTCCTGTATTTTCAGATTCACGCTAGTTGGATAGAGGGGCTAGAGTTCTAAATGAAACACATCACTCAAACCTATCATTTGTCTTATAATATTTTCTAACCATGGAAGCATTTAGGTACCACATATGGAGATGCTTTTATTTATTTGTTTGTTTGTTATGTTTACCTTTATTCTTTGTGCTAGGCATTGTGTCACAACTTATTTCCTATTGAAATCAGTAAATATACTTACTCAAATGCAGGTATGAAGGTCTTTCAGAAAAGTTTTTGTCATGTCCCGTTCCAAAGCTCCTGCTGTTAGCTGGAACAGACCGACTGGACAGGTTCTTTTAATTTAACTTGCAGGATAACCTGTCTATTTTATGTAAATGGAATCGTTTTCTTTTGGGAAAAGAAAAAAAAAAAAAAAAAAAAAAAAAATTACCTTTCTAAGGAACTCATGAGCTCTAATTCGGATGTGTTTTTCATGCTAAGTTTGGGAAGGGATATTACATAAAAAAAAAAAATTAAAAAAAAAAAAAAAAAAAAAAAAAAAAAAAAATTCCACAAATTGGGAAAAAAAAAAAAAAAAAAAAAAAAAAAAAAAACCTATCATTGTGATGCTGTTTAATCAGATTGATTTGTGATGACACAATTTAGTGATGTTTTTTTGTTACCCCAACCCTGAATGTTTGCATAGGGTACCCATGTTGGCACATTATAATTTACGAAATGCGTAAAGGTTTAGGATTTGTGTTCTTCTCACAGATTAAATTTGAGACATGACAAACTAGGAAAGGAATTCTCGATAACGGAAGCTATCTGTCTTTAGGGTTTATCCATTTCATGCATGTGGTTAGATTGGAAAGCTTGGTATTGTTTGGTTATGTTTGTGATTTAAGAGAACTTTTGTTTCTCTGTTTTTTGTGTTTGCTTTCCACATTGTGGCTATCTTGTCCACTTCGTTTGTAATTTTATTTTTTTCAGCTATAAAATTTGTTTCTTTTAAAAATTTTAAAAAGAATATATATATCTTTAATTCTTGGCCATGAATTTAGACTAAAACTTTGTAAGGACACACTGCAGTACAAAAACATCTTAAACGGCTGATGTTAAAATCGCAAATTGTTCGAGTTTCCTATCCTGAGAGTTATCTGATTGTTTGTCACAGAGCTCTGACAATTGGTCAAATGCAAGGCAAGTTCCAAATGGTTGTTGTAAGACATACTGGGCATGCCATA